CCTGAGTTGCGTGCCTGGTCTGTCCCTTACAAGCCAGAGTTGGGGACTGAATTTGCTTTCTGCACAGTTACCCAGTCCCCATGTGTTTCCCAGGTGTGCTCTCTCGTTGGAGCAGTGGAGAATTCTCCGTGCTCATCAGATTTAGTTGCTGGTGTAGAGCCTCAAAAATCCCCACCTGGTTTTCGAGGCCCTTCTTGCCCCGCCTTTGCCCACAGAGCGTTGTTCTCAGCTGCCCCCAGGTCACCCTCCTTTCCAAGCCTGTTTTCCTGAGGTCCTCCATGCTTCCTTGCTCTGGAACGCTGATTACCATGCCCAGGGTTCTGATTAATTTTGTCCTTTTAAGATTTTATTTGAAGTCCATTACCTGCGTGAAATCTTCTGACCACCCCTCCCACTCGACCCCCTTCTTTTCTCAGGACTTGCAATTTATATCTCACAGGCTGAGACCTATTACGTATTCTTCTGTATGCTTTTATTTTAACCATTGGATCTGCAAGTCTGGTTTATTTTCCTTGTTTCCAGCCCGGTTTCTGGAGGGAAAGCAGTATATCTAATACTTTCAGTGCTGTATGTAGATAGTTTAGATTAAAAAACTGACTGCTGTGGAGTTTAGCAGAGAAGAAACATTTCTTACAGTCCTGTGAAACAGACATTATAGTAAACACATCGTGTTACTATAAATTCAGTAAGTCCTATGAAGGACAGAGAAGTGTGCTCTGAGAGCAGGAGGACATGGGATGGGACAGGGGTGATGTACATGTTGTTGAGAGTTTCAAGGGAAGCCTCTGAAGTGACATTTACACTGAGAGCTAAAAGAGTGATGGGCCTTAAACAGGTGACTGGGTAGGGGAAGATTATTCCAGGCAAGAGAACAGTGCAAGGGGAGACCTGAAGATGTGGAAGGAGTGTGGCTAGAATGCAGGGAGCATCTGGGAAGACCAGGGTGGGCCTGGCTCATTTGTGGCATTGAAGGCACCAGTAAAAAGTGTGGATTCACGCTGAGTTCAGTGGGAAGCTGCTGAAACAGTGAAACGGTATGATCTGAGGCACCCAGTATCCCCAGCACTGCTTTGTAGAGAGGTTTGCAGAGATGTCGGATCTGTGCTTACAGTTTCACACTCTCCTCTACGTTTCCTTTTGTAACTGATACAAAATTGACCGTTGTTGTCCAACCTTT